GGGGGGGGGGGGGGGGGGGGGGGGGGGGGGGGGGGGGGGGGGGGGGGGGGGGGGGGGGGGGGGGGGGGTACACCCCGCCTTAATGCTTCAACTTGAGATTGAGCAATTCCTCCTTGTAGTGGAGCCTTTTCCCGACGTTGAAATGCCATTAGACTCGGGGGCGCGGAGAGGAGGTGCTCCGAGAGGTACATCTTTGAGAAAATGCCTAAGACAATCATAAATCGCAGGAGAACAGGCGCTACTATTCTACCGGCCGAGAGGAAGGCGCGGCGTGACCCAGCATACGCGAGGCAGCAGCCTTATACGTGATATGCGTACATTGGGGAGGAAGGGTAGACGCATCCACACGTTGCTGACGTTGTTGTGGCGAAAGCCTGTTCACCACATGGTGCTCTAATTACGTTGTGAGTGGTTTGGCTTGTTGAGGGCGACGTGCAAAGGAACAACGGAAGTAGTCTAGAGCACGTCGGGGGAGGTTCGGTCCACGAAGGAGTGTTTCGTCCCCACTGCTGTTCGGAGGCTGTTGTTGCTGTTCTTTTGGTATGGATGTGAAGCCCGAATGCCATGAAGAATGAATGAAGAACTCGGCTAGGTGTTGTGTACTTGCTGCTGTTCGTTGGATGGGGAAAAGGCGAAAGAAGGGGCGCATGAAAAGAGAGATTATTTTCGGATATTGGGGAGGAAGGTGAGATCACCAACCATCCGTACACCCTGTGCGGTGACACTAGACACGGGTAGACGAGGGAACCGGTAGTTTCTGGATGGGTCAGAAAGATGCGCGTTGTGCACGATGCATGCATGCATTGCATGCGTTCAAGATGCGTACAGCAGGCGCGACTGAATGTGGTAAGTTAATTCCGTCATCGGCGAACGAGAGAGAGGAAAACTGTGGGCACCTAATGTTTTAGTGAGGGAATTGAGTAGAAGCCTTGGTTTGTGCGCGAAGGAAGGTGGATGAACTACAAGCTGGTTCAGGGAAATGGATACAACAGGATTCAACAGCAAAACTTCACGCCGTTTTTAGGAGTTAGACTCTGAAACTTTGCACACATGTACCTTGGGTCATTACGCAACGCTGTGTGGAGGGCCCTTTTTTTTTTCCCTGTCGCCGGATATCCGGGGTCCTAGAGATTTCGGGGTCGTGCGCGGCTCCTGGGACCCCGAATAACCGGCGACCATGGAAGGAAATGAAAAAGGGCCAGCCGCCCAGCGTTTCGTATTGACCCAAGGTATATGTGTGCAAAATTTCAGAGTCTAACTCAAAAAAACGGCGTGAAGTTTTCAGCTCTTGTGCCATGAAGTATTTCGCATCCTGAATTTCCCCAAAGTACTTGATTAAAGTATGAAACGGCGAAAATCAGGTTCTTTTGACGCCCAACGACCCCATTTCATCAGTTTGTCGAATTAGTTCATGAAAGTTCATAGACACGGTTTTTGGAATATGTAGGTAAGGTAGACTTAAGAAAAAAAAAATCACATATTGGGACAGATTTTTGGGGTCCTGCAAAAGAGGCTATCTCCAACGCAGTTTGGCCCACCGACGGCAAGTCATAAATCGACCATTTTTCAACCGTATTAGGCAAGTTTATGGGCGATGTCGGCGAAACTCCATGCGAAGCTTCATTGCACTATAACGGTGTCGTTGGTTAGAGAAAGAATCACAAACAGCCATGTTACCGTCATGTTGGGGTCTGCTAGAGAATCTACCTACTTAGACGGAAACACCGACCGTGCTGCCCCGAAGAGAGATTTTTTTTCATCGCAGCGCGGCCTTGTGCCAGCTGAACTGGGTGATAAAACACTGCTGATTCATGCACCGAGAACGCAAACATGCCGACATGCATGGGCCGGTTTGCTGAGGGTCACACCGCGGCCGCTGCGTGTGCAGCGAGAACCTCCCGAGGGTCGGCCACGCTGATGTCGCTCGTGGTTGTATCAGTTACCGGAGGTGGCTGCTCGTGAGGCTCCAGCAGCGTGACGTGTTGCCCCTTCGTTAGCATGGAGAACATAGCCACGGCCTGTGCGTCCATTGCAGCATCCTCCTGGTCGCACTCTGCAACCCGCCGCTCCATGTATCTCCTCCGCTGTTCTGATTTGCGATCGCGCCTGACGTACGCAAACGCCCGGCGCCCGAGTCCGGCGTTACGGAACCTGCTGCAGCGTAGGCGCATCAGGATTCTGGCCTCCTGCTGCAACCCCCTCAAAGCTCTGGCGCGTTCCGCTTGTTTTTGGATGGCACACTTCTTGGCGACTTCGCAGTTCGGCGTCGTGCCTAAACACCGGTGGGGGGGTAATTTTAACGGAGGACAGACCGGAACATACGGCGATAGTATGGCTGTTGACTAAACTGTGCGATAGAGCTTGGATACAAGGACTGTGTCTTTGTAGAAAAAAACAATTGAGCGCCTGCTAGAGGACCGTTACTCAAATTGAAGAATAACCCGTGAATGNAAACACCGGTGGGGGGGTAATTTTAACGGAGGACAGACCGGAACATACGGCGATAGTATGGCTGTTGACTAAACTGTGCGATAGAGCTTGGATACAAGGACTGTGTCTTTGTAGAAAAAAACAATTGAGCGCCTGCTAGAGGACCGTTACTCAAATTGAAGAATAACCCGTGAATGTCAATCCTTGTACTCTGCAAAACACACAGCCTCCCGTCGTGCAATACGGCAGCCCCTCTAAGCCAATGTCGGTGTCTGTGTTTATCTGTGGGTGCGGCATGCCCTTGTGTCTGTTGCTGCTGGACGCGACTTGTAAGAGTTGGGCACCTTGTTTTTGAGACGGGTTGCATGTATGCAAGTTCGGGCCTGACTTGTACACAATGTTTTCTTGTACAATTGCGTGCTGCTGCTGTATAACCTGGTGCGTTCTATAAAACAGAGACAAATTGTAGCTTGTAAACACAAGTTCGGATCTGGCGTGTATAACCACTTTGTACTTCTTGTATGTACACTTGCGTGCTGCTGAGCACTGCTGTGTTCTATTAGAAGTACAAATTAGAGATGGGTTGTACAATACACTGTACTATTTTGTACCAATACAAGTAGTACTGCACTGCTGCATGCTGTACAACTCGTCTACTGTTCAAGATTGTCCGATGCAAACATCGGGATTCGTGTCAAGGTTCTCCAGTACATACATATGGATGCTGTTGTACTGCAACTTGCCGTTTTTTCACACAGCTACACTTGTCATGGAAAACACGCACCAACCATACGCATGAACGCCGGCTAGTGTTGTTGCACATGTCACCACCATGCTAGCAACGCGCCCGCCTGGTTGCTACTTTGCTGCATGTTTCAACCCACCACGGAGTACACACCCTGCCGCTTTGCTGCTGCTGCGGTTGTACAGCAGTACTGCTGTACAGCAGTACCTACGTGCAGCAAGATCCGCTCAGCAATCGTAGACTCACCGTGCTTGGGCGACAAGCTCCGCCTTCGCATGGGCTTCTCCAGCTCACTTGTCCAGTTGTCCGCGTCTCCGAGCGCTTCCGCCTTCGTCTCATACTTGAAGGCGGTGTTATTGCGAATGCCCGTGGCATGTGGCCGTGGGTGATACGTGCATCTGAGCCTCCAACGCTTCGTGTTGCTGCACTGCATTGCGCAAACTTGCGATACTTTGCGTTTGTGGGTGTCAACGTTGGGATCCACACTTTATAGTGGCTCCATTGTGGAGGGTCTCCTTGCGTACGAGACGCGTGTGCAGAGGTACTCAGCTGGTTGTACAGCAGCACCGGTGCAGCAGGAGCTGCGACAACGGCTGAGATTTTCAAAAACACATGCGGCGTAATTATGTTTTTGTCCCCGTTTTGAAAAAAGCCTGCATATCATCGAAATATTTGGAGGCTCCTCATTGGCTGAGGCACGTAATAGCCCATATCTTCCTAGCGAAGCCTTAAATAAAAACCCCGGCCACGACAATTTGTTCCTTTGCTCGTGGGGGTCACTATAATACTGCGTTTGTCAACATTATGTACAAATTTCGTCTGGCAGGAATGGTTGAATAAATTTTGGTCCATTTCCCTGAAGAACCAGCTTGTAGACTATATCGCGGAAGGACTACGATGATACGGTATTATTTAGGGAAAACGACACAACAGGGTATACCCTGGTCGAAAAGCGACCCACCTGGGTACACAGTCATGAACAGCAGTAAATGCACTCATATCACTGGTCAGCGCCCAATTTCACCTTGGTGCGTCCGGAAAGGCGCAGGGTATACCCTGCCGTGACTACTTTTCTCAACAACTGTACCCTGTTTTCGGAAATGTACCTTGACCTGTCGGGAAAAGAGATCCTTTCATCAATCATTTCCCCCGCAGGAATCTTCCCAACTCCTTTTCCCCNTTTCGTCTGGCAGGAATGGTTGAATAAATTTTGGTCCATTTCCCTGAAGAACCAGCTTGTAGACTATATCGCGGAAGGACTACGATGATACGGTATTATTTAGGGAAAACGACACAACAGGGTATACCCTGGTCGAAAAGCGACCCACCTGGGTACACAGTCATGAACAGCAGTAAATGCACTCATATCACTGGTCAGCGCCCAATTTCACCTCGGTGCGTCCGGAAAGGCGCAGGGTATACCCTGCCGTGACTACTTTTCTCAACAACTGTACCCTGTTTTCGGAAATGTACCTTGACCTGTCGGGAAAAGAGATCCTTTCATCAATCATTTCCCCCGCAGGAATCTTCCCAACTCCTTTTCCCCTCTAACCATCGGATACCAAACGGCGAATCTTACCGCCCAATAAACATCATGGCAGCGGGGCAGGAATCAGTTTCCGCCCCTGCGAAAGAACACCATCATCATACTCCCTCTGCCCCGATATATACTAAGCGTGATTTGGATATTCCGAATACATTGTATAAGCGAGGTTTGCACTATATGCTCCAAAATAGGCCGTTTGGTCATTGTGAGACGTCAAAAAACTTCGGCATGTCATCAGATACCACATTGGACGGATTCTTTTTTTTTTCGGTCACATAGGGAGGGGATAATCCGTTGCCATCCCCTAGTTGTGAACTCCAGGGAATTCGAGCATATATATTTTTTGTACCCAGTCACGGGAGAGACGGGGCAGCCGTTGCTGATGAATCAAGACCGCACTCAAAAATGGAAAACCGGGCTTATTTTATGACAGCATCGCCCCGCTTGTTGAATTGGGTAGCTCGGACATCAAGTTGGAGTGTGGGGGGGGGTGGGCGGGGGTACAAATGACATGTATGTGGACAGCAGCAGCAGCAGCAGCAGCAGCAGGCAGCAGCAGCAGCAGCAAGCAGTAGAATCGCCGCTACTTACTTGGGGTGTTAAAACGTCGCGTTACAGCAGTAGTGCTCGCACAAGTTAAACACTCATAGACTACCCCGTTGTTTGTTCACAGCCCAATGCATTCTTCACAGCATGTCCAAATGTACTTGCTCCTTCTTAAAACACCATGGCCGCCACAACTAACTAACTAACAACTGCTGTACGTTTACAATCTGTCGTCGCCTCGTCTGCCTAACTTCGTGGACAAAAAGAATGGCCAACGCTAAACAACGCGCTAAACGCGGTGCTCCTTCCTGCTACAGGTCCACGATATTCTGCCAAAAACGTGAAACCGAAAAGCAATGAACTACCCGCCCGCCCCGTCCCTTTCTACGCGGCTCCTCCTTGTCCCTCTACCGCCGCGAGCGACGATGTGCCCTTGACCCACGCCTCCTCAGAGATCTGGTACTACCGCAGTGGGATGGGCGTCCCCGCCCGTGCAGCCTTGTCCTTGCTCAAGTGAGGGACCTTGTAGGTGTTGTCCCCGCCGCAGAGCAAGGTTTGCTCCAAGCAAGCCTGGAGCAGAGTCCACACCTTGCCCAGCTTGTCCGGCGACGCCTTCTCCCACGCGGTCTCGACCTCGCCGACGAGGTTCGTCGATAGTCCTGGGCTTGTAGCGGTCCTGCAGGGACTGGATTGACGCGAAGAAGCCCAGGTTCAGGATGTTGGTGTCAGGGCTGTTGGGAGGCTGGTTGCAGGTACGGCTTGATGAGGGCGTTCGAGTGCGCCCTCAGCCCGAGCGCCTTGAGATTCCTGTGCAGCGTGCTTTTGGGAATCACAAGCGCCGCAGCCAAGCGGCGCTGTGTGGTGCGCTCGTTCAGCGGGATGTCACGCGGGCGCTCCTTCAGTTCTTCGAGGGGAATGCCCTGCCGCCCGCTATTTCCCTTGCGTCGGTTATCAATCTGTGGACTGGCGACCCCCGCTTTGTGCTGCGTATCGTACCTCATCCACAGCCTCTTGATCGTCTCCCAGTACCAGCCGAACTTCTCGCCGGCTTCCTTGAACGCACCATACCGCAAAACCCCGNACAAGCGCCGCAGCCAAGCGGCGCTGTGTGGTGCGCTCGTTCAGCGGGATGTCACGCGGGCGCTCCTTCAGTTCTTCGAGGGGAATGCCCTGCCGCCCGCTATTTCCCTTGCGTCGGTTATCAATCTGTGGACTGGCGACCCCCGCTTTGTGCTGCGTATCGTACCTCATCCACAGCCTCTTGATCGTCTCCCAGTACCAGCCGAACTTCTCGCCGGCTTCCTTGAACGCACCATACCGCAAAACCCCGTTCTTGCTGCCAGGGAGGAGGTACCGAATCACCTCCTCTGTTTCCTCTTCGTTGAAATTCTTGCGTTTTGCCACCTGGGAGGCACTCCCAGCTGCAGGCATCCCTCACCAGCAGATGGGAAGGCTTTTGGGCGGAGGTCCAAAGTTGGGGTGGTGATATCGAGCAACTTCTGCTGGGGTGGGACACACCTTTTAGGACAGCGCGGTTCTGCGCGCCCCGCGCGAGTGCGGCGAACCGAGGAAAAAAACGGTTCGGAAAAAGACCAAAAATTGGCGAAGATAGACCGCATTGAGTCCAAATTACGTTTACATTTTACATATCGGGGAATCGGGGAAGAGGTATACTATTTATGCTCCCTTTCTTTCCGCTGTTCGTTCTTGTCTTTGTTGATAAACACACGTCCCGCACGTGTCGTTCTCTTGATTGTTTTCCACCATTTACATATTAAACGCTTCTCGAGAAGTGGCAAGCATCGATGGCAGCAGGAGAATCCCATGCGTGCCTACAACAACAGTAGTAGATGTTGAACGCTCGGTTCTTGTTAACTACTAAAATCTGTGGCAATCCTTGATGACCATCCTTCTTCTGTTTGGAGCCCCGACTTTTTGCGGAGGAATCAGACCCCCCCCCTACAGCAGCACAGCAGTTGATGCTCTCGAGTTCTGTGCGTCGAGAAACCCGTGGCGTTGATTGATCACCTAAAAGTTAACCAAGCATTTGTTTAGACTACAGCCCAGAAAAAAAAACGAAAGACCTGCGATGAAATCGGAGGCAACGCGGGGGCAGTGATCTTTCTAACAAAGTGTGGCCCTACAGCCCTTGATCGGAGGACTTTTCTGATAAATTTCTTTGGCCTCGCCCGGGCCTTGGGATACCGATAAACACCCCACTACCTTTTTGGCCGCCTCTTGCTTCTCGAGAACACCCTGAAGTGTGTCGAGCACACCCTCGCACGCACGCTCTTCACGAAGGAGATGGTAGCACTGCTGCGGGTGACAGCTGTAGCCGCGGCTTTGGCTGTAGTTGTCAACGCAGCCCATCCATCGGCGCTCTCGGTTCAGCTCACCAGCAACAAGAACCATGCAGGACGAGGAAGGAATATGCTCAGCGCTGCCGCCGGCAGGAGGCTAGGCGAAGGCGGCGGGGTGGGCACGGTCGACGTCAATGACTGCGAGAACATGGAGTACACTGGCGTTATCTCCCTGGGAACTCCGCCGCAGGAGTTTAGGGTAATTTTTTCGATCGCGACCAGCTACCTCTGGGTGAGTTTGTTTCTCTGCGCTGCTCTCGGCTCCGACCCGACAAGGAACGGCAGCAACACATAACATGATCAAACAACGCAAGGTCTGTCACCACGCGATAACACAAGAACATTGCGCGTGGTTGTGTAGGTAAAGCTCTGTTGTGTGATACGTTCCCCTTGTTCTCTCTATCTTTCGACCGCAAGCAATAAGCTCCTGCTGTGTTTGTGTTTGTGGCTTGCCGAAAACGAACCGGCCACGGGGGTAAGTCTGCCTTTTTTTTTTTTTTCAGCGAAGTGGCCTAGACCACTTGTAGCCGTCGTTCGTGCCATCGTTGAATTTTGTTGGCTTGCGGACGCTTCGGGTCCATTGTATTTTCGTAGACCTTTTTTGGGTAAGTGTGCCTGTGACCACGGGAATCGACCCCGTCAAGCGGTAAATTAGTGCGGAAAGAAGAAGCTAAAGTCGACCCCGCTTTAAGGAAACCAAAATAGGAAAATTCCCGGGTAAAGGAAACATTTTTTCGCCGAAACACAATACCCCGCAGAATATAATATATACGGGGGGTCCATATTCTAGTCCGTGGACCCCTTAAAGCACGTTTTCAGCGTACCCTCGTTGGGCCCTGACCTGTTATGCATGCTTATGTTTGTGCATAACTGGGCTTTTCGTGCATAAGCAAAAGCATAAGTTGAAGCGCGCATATATACATTTTTTCATGCATAAAAGTGTGCATAACAGGTTGTCGTGCATAGCGGTGATTATGCACGAGTGAGATGGGGGTAAGGGGTGGCTCAGACGCTCAGAAAGCTCATTGTAACCAAAACAGAGCTTTTTTATCCCCTTCAAAGCCTCTTGGTCTTTTAACTCTTTAGTTTCAAGTCCACAGATCAGACCACAAATTGTAGATCTGGAGATTGATTGGAGATTCGGTGTTAATTGAAAACATTCGTTGTTTCAACCAACCTTGATGACTGTTGATTCAAACTATTAATACTTGACTTTTGTACAAGAAGAGAGGAGAGCAAAGACGCAAAGACCGAAGACCTAAGACCAAGACCACAGGAACACAGGACACACCGCACATCACTGATTCAGCCATCCTCTGCCTTCATGGAGCGAGCATTTTCTATTCTGCGTGCGTGTATGGACCAGAGGCAGGAGTCGAGCTTCAGCGATCGCATTGCCGCAGCTGCCCTTCTCAATAAGTACAATAGAGGGCGCGGAGAGTAGTAGTACGGGAGTACGCGAGTACGCTGTTTGGCCTGTGGTGTGTGTTTGTGGTGTCTTGGGTATGAGTCCGATATATCGTATTCGAGGCGCTTTCTTAATTGTTGCTGTTATTTTTCTGTTTCGTTTGGTACTGCATTTTCAGTTGAATTCTACGGAAGGAAGTCACAAGTGTCTGTGCGTATTTTTGTTCCTGTTGGAATTGAGTGTGTGGCATGGCTTTGGCTTGAATTTTTTTCTTGACGTTTGTGCGGTTTGTTGCAGAAAACAGGGCAACCCTGCTGTTTGGTTCAGTCGCCATTACGTGGTATGCCAGCGGTGTTCCATTTTACAGCAATAATAGCCTAGTAGCCCGCACTGCTATGACTGTTGATTGTTTTTAATTGAAATTTATTGCTATTTTTCGTTTCATCGACAATTAATTATTGGCGGGGGATGGAATGTGTCCATGATTCTAGAGGCACTGACAGCATTTGATTTGGTGTTCTGATGGGTTTGACACTGCTACAGCAGGGGCTGTTGGAGGCGCATTCATTTATATTGCTTGAAGTATTTTACCGCGATTGATTCCAGAAATAAATATATGTACTCTGTCTGCCGAATGGCGATCACGGATGACCAAGAGTGAAGGGAATGCGGGAAAGTAGTCCCCTCTTCACCCTTATAAGAACGAACGAGTGCAGAGTAGGAGTAGTCGGATGCGTCGAAGAAACATTTCCTGAAAGACTAGAGTCCAAGATAATTTGCGCTGTGTGATACAGCAACACAATTAATTATTCATATACATTTCGACAGTGGGAGAAGGCATAATAGACAAAGCGTGTCGACGAAGCCAACCGCGCGCGCATATGTCGAGCATTAACGACCAAAACAAGCATTGCCCGAGCACGAGGGACAAAGAAAAGCGTGCAGAAGTACGAGCACACGCGAGGAAAATGAGCATAACCAGCGTGCAGAAGTCGCCTTTTGAGCTTACGCACGTGCCGAAAAACGTGCATAAAAATGTCAAGGCATAAGCATAACAGGTCAGGGCCTAACCCTCTTCGCCAGCAGAGAGGTCTGCTGCTTCACCTGCTGTCTGCGGTATGCAAAGATTCGCTTCACCTACCGGTGCGTCCTCTGCACCTGGGTTAAAACGGTGTGGTGAACCCACGTGCACGATCACGAAGCTCGTGTCGGGTATCCACACATGCCCTTGCGGTCGATGGATGCACGCGTTTTGTGGTCGCGGCATCGGGAAGGAAGGCTGCGGACAGCAGAGGGAGTGCACGGAATGTCAGAAGTCGTAGCGTTGAGTGTTTTCGGTTTGTCGGCCATACGCCGTATTGTGTGCTTGTGTCTGAATGGCGCTCCAGTAGAGAGTAGCGCAGGAGAGTTTCTGCGTGCGCTCCCCCAGGGGTAAACAAGAGTCACCAAGTGAATTTGAAGTGTCCATCAGGTATTTTCCGTGCTGTGTGGTGGTGTTCAGCAATAAACAATTATTATCTCGCCGACTCCCAGCCTCTTTATTTATTCCAACAATGCCCTGCCCAGGGCGCACCTTTTGACGTATGTACCGCCACCATTGACCCCGGGGATGGTGCGTTCTGATCCCCTGAAGTTTATCGAAACTTCCCCGCGTTAAGGAAACATTTTTCAAAGCAAAACGATATGTTTCCTTAAAGCGGGGTCGACTGTAGTGGGCAGAGAGAACGGGACGGTTTTTTATGTTAAGACAACAACAACAACTTGTACGCTGGCAGCATGGCATTACTATTGCTGTCGAGTAGGAGCTGGCTCCAATCCGTGGTCACGCAGGAAGGTTAAGGTTCCTCCCCCTGAGGCCCCGTACCCATCCCTTTTGGGGGGGGCTTGCCTTCGGTTTTTGAACCCGGCAGGAGTGCAGGCGGCACTCTCTTCCCTTACTGAAGATAAAAAAAAACTATCTCGGCTACGCACCTTGTTGTTGTTGTCTTCACATTGAAAACCGTTCCGATCTCTCTCTACCCAGATAATTCATATGTCCGTACTACAACACGTGACTCACCTTACTGGTGCGTCGAACGCGGGCTACAGCTGTTGCTGCTGTTGTTGTTGTTGTTGTTGTTGTTGTTGTTGTTGTCTTCACATTCAAAACCCGTTCCGGTCTCCACTCAGTACCTTCTAATGTCCGTACTGGTCCAACTGACGCGGACGCCTTCCGTGCTCACAAGCCAACTGCTCCCCGTAGGGGGGTGGGGGGCGTACTCTTATGTTTTGCATGCCTTAGCGGTTAGACCATTGACCACGCGTCCTCGAGAGGACGGAGCATTGTTCCCACAGGACCGATCACCGATTGCCAATCGTTCCTTTCTACTTTGCCAAAGGTGGCCTAAAAGTGTCTTCCCTAGTCTGTCTATCCTAACGATATCCCTTCCCGCCTTTTCAACCCACCTCCTACACCCCAGTACAGCTACCGTCTTTTCCTCTCTATTCCATGCCTCAAACATCTCCCTGTACGTTCCATCTATTTTTCCCAGCTCAGTCACGTACACTTCCCTCTCCTTCTTGTACAACGGACATTCCGCGACTACATGAACACGGTCTTCGCATTCGAAGCCGCAATCACATTTGAACTCGTCGTCTTCGTCCTCTACCGTCCTATGCCTTCGTAGACGTTCTCGAAGGCCTATGTCCCCGGTCCTGAATTTGACTTCAAGCTT